GTAGCCAAGGGGGGGGGGGGGGAGTTGGGCATAGCCCCTGCTGTAATTTAGAAAAAAAACATGTAATACAAACATTTTAAAGACATTTTACCAAAACCCGACGCTGTAAATTACGAGTACTAGTACGAAATACGAATAATGTATATGTATTTGGTTGCCCGATATTGATGTAGGCTAATGCCTTTTCCTCTGAAAAAAAGTCTTTAAAACTTTTGCTCAAATAATTCAGTGGGAAGGGGCCAGTGATCGCCTCAGATTGCACTACAGAGCATCTATAGGATCCAAAATTTGCAGGGGCCCTTAAGCGGGCCCCGGACCCCATGCCGTATAAAACATGATACAGTTGAAGACAAAGAAAAAAGTCTTTATACTGCATTTCACGAAGTAAAATCAGGCAATACAAAGGAATAAATAACATATAAGGCAAAAAGAACACATGCAATTAACAAAGTCCACTAGACATTTCCATAGCAGGCAACAAGATGTTCGCTGGTAGGGGCGGATCTAGGGGGCGTGGGGCGCACGCCCCCTTTTTTTTCCTTCCAAAAAAAAAGTTATAGAGAGGGAGAGAGACTCAAAAAGAGAAGAAAGGGAAGGGAGAGACACAATTTATAGGACAGTTCACGTCAGACCATAGCCTGCTAGGATTAGTTGCATATAAGACAACAATTATTATTGGGGTCTGTCATACTTTTAATTTAATTTACTAAAATAAAAAAGCGACGGGATCAAGAACTGCGACAGGACTGCGCGCTTGACGAAACCTATGCTGTTAAATTGTACATTACAGAAAAATGCACCCAGACCTCTCTAGCATGCAGGGCGCGTGGCGGATGAAAATCGTTGGGGAACGACATGTCCCCCGTTCCCCACCGATCGACGCCTATTGTTGGCACCGTGTTTCAGAACGACAAACTTTTATACAAGTACGTTTTATACGTAGGACCTGTGCATACAATACAGCGTCAGTTTGTGAAATCAAAAATTCTGAGAGAGACCCTACTGAAACTAAAAAAAACCCCACCTTTTGGGTGTGTGTGTGGGGTAGGCCGATGTGTTTTATGGCACACTGCGTTATTTTCGTAGGCCCCCCCCCCCCCCCCCGTTTTCGTAGGCCCTAGGCACAGTGCCTACCGTGCCTATTGGCCTTTTGGGTAATTTTTTGTCAGTGCGTGATTCTGAGAAGAAAACTGAGTTGTTTTAATTCGACGGTTACGGAACAGTGTGCTCCGTTCGTCATCAGGAGGCCGCTGGACTCTGGCTGGGTGAGTTGTTTAAGTTGTGACTTCATTAATCACAATTAAGGAAAGAAAAATCACTTTTATTGGGGGGGGGGGGGGCACCCAAAAATGGTAAAATTCGGGAATTCGAATACACAACCTGCATCACTTGTACCACCGGATTAGCGTAGCACGTCGCCATAAATAAGTGTCGGATACCCCCCGCCCCTGCCAAAAACTTGCCCAGCCAGAGAAGAAAAGGAATATACATGAATAGTTTTTAAATCGATGCTAATTACTCCCTTCACCGTGAAAGAAAAAAGAGCGCCCCTAACATCACATTTAATGAGGTCCATCACCCCCCCCCCCGACGAATTTGCAGCAACTGCACTGAGTGGCCAGCCGGCACGTACTGCATCGCTTTCCCCATAAAAACAAGTCGGACATTTGCAAAGAATGGAAAGTTTGCGTTAACTGTGTGAATATCTCTCTTGATAGTCAGGCAGCTTAGTGAATGGATGTGGACATTCTGGACAAAAGCGCCAAATTGCCCATACATGCTCCTCAATGCCTTAGCTTTCAATTTTTGATAGGAACCAACTTATACAATGACATTATGGCGGCCATCTTGGATTTTAAAGATGGCGGCCATTAAAAACCTATATCTACCAATATCTCATCTTCTAAGCCACTTAGGATTAATGTTTTGGTGTCTAAACATACATTTTCAGGGTCAAGGAATGCAACTGTACCATTTGGGATAGTGTCAAATGGTTAGTTTGTCCAAATACAGTATTGTGGCCATCTTGTTTTGAAACATGGCCGCCATTTCTTCTCCGAAAACGTGTATTGCACTAAGGATCTTAATCTTGGTGTCTAAACATATATTTTCAGGGTCACGGAACGCAACTAAAAATTTGGATTAAAATACTACATGTATTTAGGATCGTGTCAAATGGTCAGTTTGTCCAGATACTTAATACAGCGGCCATATGGTTTGCCGTAAAAGGACCAACACTGGCCCGATTCAGGCTATGTACCTTTTTGCCATTATGGTTTGACTTGAAACGGCCGGCACCGGTCTCATTCAGGTTTTGTACCGATTTGCCATTATGGTTTCCAATAAAGGGACCAACACTGACCTGATTCAGGCCTTTTACCGTCTTTTCATCATGTTTTATCGTAAGAGGACCTGCAATGGCCCGGTTCAGGCCGTGCGCCGTCTTGCTGTTATTATTTGCCTTAAAAAGACCAGCACTGGTCCGATGCAGGCTCTGAACGGTGTTACCATTACCGTTTGCCACTTAAATTAATAGGGCGAACACTGGACCAATTCCGACTCCGTGGTGGAACACGGAACCGTTTTGGCGCAATCGAGCCAGCATTAGCCCGCCTGGTCTTGTACCGTTTAAACTGTATGGTACTGCCACAACAAACCCATAATTAGCTGTTATCGGCCCGATACTGTCCCGTTACTGGGTCAATGCCATCTTTGAACCTATAGGCAGGTAGAAATCTCTGGCACTACAGGATGTGATACAACTCTGCCTCTCCACAACTACATGCAACTGAACCACTTTTGTAGCTCCATTGGGTCAACTCCAAGATCTTTTTCAGGAGGCGGCAGTGGTTTACAGAATTACATGTGACCGAAAGATCCACAAAAATAGCTCCACTTATTTGTTGTCGTTTTGAAACCCATCCTCAGCTTGCTGTGCCAGATTAAGAGTTGGCTTGTTGTTGACTTGCAATGTCGCAATCCAGGTTGCTGAGGGATAAGGGATGTTTCAGCAACGGGGGCAAGCCTGTTTAGGATCAGGCACTCGAACATGAACAAAAACAGTAATGGGTTCCTGTCTGGACCGTGTTACCTGTGGCCAAAGCCTGCAGTGAACTATAACTAATGTGGCTTCAAGAGTCAAAGTGTATGCGGTGCAAGACGTGCATGCAGCACCTTGCTAAGTGCAATAAACTCTCCGGTTGCAACTGTGAGAATTAGGGCGAGCACTTTTAAATTGTAAACATTTGTGAGTGATGACATCTATTCTCACATAATGTTGTTTTACTTATACTTCAAACAGTATTGTCGGTGACGGCAGTATATATCAACGGTATTGTGTTAGAGATTTTATCTTCAGTTTGACTATTTTGTGTGTATAACTAAAATAATCTTGGTCTTTTCTGAATAAAAGAGTTGTATTTCCTGACCCTGAAAATGTATGTTTTGACACCTAGACTGTAATTTGATATGGGGTAGTAGCTGAGATATCAGTAAATGCAGTTATTATCTGGCGGCCATCTTTAAAATCAAAGATGGTCACAATAGTGTACAAACTGACCATTTGACACTGTCATAAATGGTACAGTTGCATTCTTTGACCCTGAAAATGCATGTTTGGACGCCACAATTTTAATCCTAAGTGGCTTAGAAGAACAGATATTGGTAGATATAGGTTTTCAATGGCGGCAATCTTTAAAATCCAAGATGGCCTCTGCAATGTATCTTGACAAATTAACCATTTAGCACTAACCCAAATGGTTCAGTTGCGTTCTTTGACCCTGCAAATCATTACGGACACACTCTCGCAAAATGTGGTCCGGCAGCTTTCTATACAAAAACCTCGTTGGCTCGGGGTTTTGTACGTAAACCTTATCAGTCAGCCGATCACGCTCAATGGACTTCGGCCAAACCGCAGTCCCATCATAAGAAATAAGTTAACAATGCTATCCGGACCATTTTTTCCGAGAGTGCGTCTGTAATGTATATGTTCAGACACTAAGATTTCAATTTTAACTGGCTTAAAGATGTAATACATGTAGTTTTCAATGCCGGCAAGCATCTTCAAAAGTATTAGATGGCAGCAATACCGTATCTGGACAAACAAACCATTTGACACTATATCCCAAATGGTACAGTTGCATTCCTTGACCCTCAAAATGTATGTTTAGACACCAAAACTTTAATCCTAAGTGGCTTAGAAGATGAGATATGGGTAAAAATAGGTTTTCAATGGCAGCCATCTTTAAAATCCAAGATGGCCGCCATATTGTTATTGGATAAGTTGGTTCCTATCAAAAATTGAAAGCTTATGCAATAAAGAGTATGTATGGAAAATTTGGCGCTTTTGTCCGGAATGTCCACATCCATTCCAGTCTAGCAGCCTGAAGTGTGTGCGGGAGGCAGAAGTGTGCTCTAGCTGGTCGTCAGCAGGAGACTCACTCCATATGACTCGATCAAACCACCCTTGTTCGAAACGTCGAGACGGTCGACAGAGTTAAAACAACTGCTTGGTGTGAACCACAAACTTTCCATTCTTCGTTCATATCCACAACCTTTAAGAGACGTATATTATGGCGCACTCTGTAGATACCTGGCTAGGCTTGAACACAATGTTCGCTCGTACCCGGTAACCACCCCCCCCCCCCCCCCCCCCCCCCACACACACACACACACACACACACACACACACCACCACCCCGCCCTGCAAACTCTGCAGGGCCAGCTGGAGCGGGGGACGAACGAAGTACTTGTAACATGTCTAATAAAGTAATTATGACTGACGTTTCCTTTAGAACAAAATGTCTTTTACAATGAATACAAACTAAACCAATATTTTTTTTCTCTGTGAAACATCCTCCTGTATACTCTGCTGGTATCTGTCTAATTAGCGGATGAATAACATTATTTTCAGTCGAGCAAAGCACGTGAAAAGGTTTCGCTGGTCCCCGCGCAGTTAAAAAAAAAAGAAGGAAGCTTGGTTACCAGCTGATTTCCGCCGCCGCATCATTGTAAAGTAGTGATAAACATGGCGGTGTAAATACATTAACAGCGGTCGCTTGACAAAAACAACGGAAGTCGGAAAAGTTAAATTGGGCTATAAATAATCGAGGAAAGGACCATTCAAACATACCACAGGTACGTTGCTTATGAAACGTGTAAGGACCTTTTCCTTCCTTTGCTAAAAGTGCTAGTGCTAGGAATTCAACGTAGACATTGGTAATGGTAGCTAGAAGCATTGTGAAAAGTTAGAAGATCTAGCCACTCGATTGTTAGCTGGACTTGCCCAATTTCCGGACGCACAAACTACCACATGTGATAGAGCAACAGAGCATGAGCAAGGGCCTATACATTCATGACAGTCGTTTTCCTACCTAGTTCCGGATAGCATATCGTGCGGTGCCCCAAATTTGCGCTCGCGCTGCCCAGTATTCGCGCAACCAAATTTCTCAGCTCGTATCTTTTTTTCACAAAACACGGACCGACGTCAAATCACCGTCGATCATCGATGATCCATTGTCACATCGCCTTTCATGCCTTTCTTCTCCATGCGGTTATGCGGAAATCTAAAGCTTTTCCGAGAAGTAATTTGAATGAAATAAAAGAGAGAGTAGGCCTAGGCCTAAATTATTGCCATATACAGCATGTACAGACTAGGCCTAGATACAAAATAGTCCGAGTAACTTGGACCTAGTCCGAGTTACTCGGACTAACTTGGACCCAACTTATCGCCTTTTTAACATTCGGACATGGTCTGGCGATAGTATCGCCAGACATTGATACAAAACTAATACAAAACGTGACATGTTGAATGGCCAAACTAAACAAAAAAAATTGTGTAAATGATGACGTCATGTGCATTGGGTTATAATATAAGGTTTACCACTCGCATCACAGCTTTGGTACTGGAACCGCAACCAATAGTGCATAAAACAGTCATCGGGTGTTACGCTTCCGCGTGACGTCATGCGCCAACAGCCAGCGCAGCCGGCAAAACCGAGTAGTTGACAGCGATCGCTCTCTGTGCCTGTTAATCGACCGCCATTCATTGTACACAATTTTTTTTGTGCACAAACCAATTGCAGTCCTGGCCAATCCAGCAAGGTTGTCAAGTTACCAGTTATTCCTCCTGTTTTCACTGCAATTGTAGGCTGAATCTTCATCTCGGATCGTTTTTTACTTCAAGGACCTGTGTAATGGTTATTCCAGGCAAGTTTGGGGTGAGTTGCAGTTGCAATTAGTGTGTAACGGGGACAAAATTGAACATTTTCCAAAATTTTTTGCCTATACTACAAGTTACGAGAAAAACTCGCTCCAGCCCTAATAGACAACCCAATGATAAAACTCAGGGCTGGGTAACTCCAGCTAGCCTAAACTAATGAAAACATCGCTAAGAATTTCCAATCAGTGTCGCCGTCCAACCCCGAAACGTGAAAGACAACTTTGGTCGACTTTCACTAAACAACAGAGGGTATATAATCAGAATTAAGGAGCACGAAAAACGACGTGCACCTTATACATTGCGTTATTATTTTACAATCTGTTTTGCCGAGATGCAGATTTCGGTACCGAGTTGTTTGTTGGAATGAATGTGCCTTAAAATATATTTCTGTCGGAATAAGACCTAGGCTAATGTAATGTTTAAAAAAAAACAAAAGTAGGCCAATACCTAGTCCGAGTAACTGAGCAACACAATTCTGTCATTGACCCCAAAACCCAACATTGCCCAACAAAAACATCAGATTTCACCCTCAAAACGGCCTTCAAATTACTAGATACGCCACCTGTAGAAGTCATCGATAATTAAGATGGTTGTACTGAAGTTTACTTACGATCTGGATGAAAAGTGAAATTTCCTGTTCAATTCCGAGAGCTCCCCTCGCGATCGTGAACACGTTAAATTTTCGACTCGTTGTGTTTGAATTGCGATGTGGTCTTCATGCCCAGCGTTCATTCGATGGTCCCCGTATCCCGAGTGCGATTCCATTACCGTTAAAATTTGTTGTTATGCTGTGCGCCGTCAGGTTGCCGCTACCATTCCTCTCTGCTATTTCCACGATTTTTCCATTTTTGCCGATGGTGAAGTTGCCGATCTTGACTTCATCGGTTTGGTCCATGAATGGTGATTCGCTAGAGAAACCTTATGAGGCTGTACTCTGTTCCAGTTTGGTGAGATTATTTATCGTACAATTTGCTGACTTCACTTGTGTGTTCTGAGATCGGCTGATTCTTGCACACATATCTTCATCACAGTTAAATTATGTAAATTGAATTCCACTGAACAATATGGCAACAATGCTTGCAACCCTGGTAACGTGTGTGCTTGCATGCACCATCGTGATGGCGTCACCCACTGCCGATACTGGACTTGTCGGTTTGTTTTCTCCAGCTGGATCTCTGACCTCATCAAGCAGACAACCCAAGTACTTCGGATCAAGGGTATTGTACTATCAAAACTCGTCATCCACTTTTCAGCTTCAGAATCTTATGCAGAGTGGTGACATTAACCCGAACCCTGGCCCTCTAAATGATCACTCACAGAGCCCTCATAACACCAACCCAACTGCACCAATCCTGCAATATACCAAGGACCAACTTCTAAAAATCAAATCAATGAGGAAGTCCAGATCTGCCGTTTCCCGTGACATCTGGACCAAACTGAAAACACTTAAAATACATGCATGGACCCCATGCTCATCTTCTCTGTCAAATGCACTGTGGATGCTACTTCTCTCATCACCAATCTTCACTGGTTACCCATCCAGCAGCGTATAGCATTCAAAGTTCTTTTGATGGTGTACAAGTGCCTACATGGTAATGCTCCCCCTTACTTGTGTGACTTACTCACTTTGTATCAACCAGGCAGACCAGGATTAAGATCTTCAAATGATAAACTTCTCTCTATTCCTACAGGTTTAAAATCCCTTGGAGACAAATCTTTTTCTATAGCAGGCCCCAAATTATGGAACACTATTCCCATCAACATCAGGGACGCCCCATCTCTCACCATTTTCAAGAAACGTCTTAAAAGTTTCTTATTCATTACTTCCTAGTCCTCTCTTGTAGTTGTACAGCGCTTTGGTCTATTTTGTAAAAGCGCTTTATAAATACTTTATTATTATTATTATTATTATTATTACCGAGCGCGCGATGCATCGATTATGATAATGAGTAGACTCGGTAATGGAATCGCACTTGGGATACGGGGACCATGGAATGTACGCTGGGCATGAAGACCACATCGCGTCATTCAAACATTAACATGAGTCGGAAATTTAATGTGTTCAAGATCGCGAGGGGAGCTCTCGGAATTGAACGGGAAATTTCGCTTTTCATCCGGATCGTAAGTAAACTTCAGTACAACCATCTTAATCATCGATGTCTACTTGTACCTCAGGTGGCGTATCGAGTAATGTAGGCCATATTGAGGGTGAAATCTGGTGTTTTTGTTGGGCAATGTTGGGTTTTTGGGTCAAGGACAAAATTGTGTTGCTCGGCATGGATTAGCTTGGACCCTACTATCGCCAGACCATGTCTGAATGTTAAAAAGGCGATAAGTTGGGTCCAAGTTAGTTTTTTTTGACTCACACTGTATATATACATGTACACACGACTTATGTCATCGAACGACTTTCGTACAACATATGAATTTTAACTTGTATAACTTATATGTCGTACGGTATTGACTTTATATGTATGTCGTAGATACGACATACAAGTCGTACATATATACGAGTTAAAATACATAAATCATACACTGTACGTACGAGATATAAGTCCAACATACTGGTACGAGATATCAGTCGTACGTATACGAGATATAAGTCGTACGTACATGTATGAGATATAAGTCGTGCGTACGAGATATAAGTGGTACATGTATGTGCAAGATATTAGTACGTTAGGGATATTATAAGTTGTACGTACATGTAAGAGTTATAAGTCGTACGTACGAGTTATGATTCATAACGCACACGTACAAGATATAAGTTGTACATGGTACGAGTTACCTGCAGGGAGAGATTTTTCACCATGTCCCTATTACAGCTTCGTATATTTCCATCCCAAAGTGTCAAAGTAGAAAATGATCTATAGTTTCTTGTAGTTAATGCGTACACTGAGGTGGGTACGACATGACTTATACACAAACAAGTGAATCTGCATTGGATTGAATGGGTACTATTTGACCCGGGTACGAGTTGACCTGTTCCCTACATTCGCTGTCTGAATGTCACAGGGCAGGTACGGCGTATACTGTTTGCACCGACAAGAAACATCAGCATTAAGTCGTTCTTTCTTGAGCTGTCCACTTTGCAATAAATTGGAAGTGGTATCATTATTTTTTAACAAATATACATTCACAGGGCGGCATATTTCATTTGTTTGGAAGCAAAACTGGAGAAATGGTTTGAAAGTTGGATTGAAATACCTGGACTGTGGACATTATTATTGAGTGAACATTATGTGGTGTATATAGTACCTCTTGCTATGCTAACATGAATATGTATGTTGCGGGTCAAAGTTTACGGGCTTTGATTGGATATTGTGTTATATGCGCATCAGAAATTCTTGGCCCAATTCAACCGAAAATGTTAAGAAACACATAAGGAATTCGCCACAGTTGCATCATGGCTGTCATCCACCTTGTACGGCTGTTTAAGAATGTGCGTGTGGGGCGTACGTCCGTACATCCGTGCAACCAAAGCACTAGCAAGGGCATCATTGAGGAAAAATCAGCCTAAGCTGTACGGTAGCGGGAACAAGGCACAAGCTCATTTAGGGAACAAGCTTGACAAGCTTGGTCACGGCTACATACCAGTAGTTCTATGGGAATTTATAACCCAGTCAACTCGTACCCAAGTCAACTCGTTGGCGTACTTCCCTGATCTTTTGGGGGGGGGGGATAAGGCAAAAAAAAAAAGGCTCCGGTTTCTGGTATTCGCGCGTGTCGCCGTAGCCATATGCGTAGACAAAATTAAAAAGGTTTTTTTCCAATGTAAAATGATGTTTCAAAACCGCCAAACTCACTGGTTTGACTGGAATCCTGCTGCTGCATAATTTTAACGTGTTTTTAGATGGGGTTACGATCAAGTATATAAGCTTTATGTGGCCTTTCTGGGCTCCCATATATTTTGCAC